TTTCTTTGTACTATATCACAGTGTAAATTCAACAAAGCTAAAATGTCTTGATGTAGAGATGGCACAGTATATAAAGTATATATATTACTATAACATACAGATATTGTAATTATTTTTTAAAAACAAAGCTTACTAAATTCTGTTAAAGGAAGCTCAAAATACTCCTTTGATGATTTACAGAATACCTTCTATCTCATTCTTTTGTACATTATTGTGGAGTGATTTCTCTTAAACCCAAAGGCAACTGGTTTTAAGTAATTCAAGTCATGTGCTTGTGATCAGGATATAAGACTGCAATCCTCAAACTTCTCATTTTTTTATTCTAATAAGAGGTACACTTCAGATAAAACAGTCTGTGGTATAGAACTTCAACTATGTTATTAATCTTTTCCAATAATATTCAGTCCAAGTATTTTTGTGGCGCAACAGAAGCATTTCCCCCCTTTTTACAATCATAGCAGTCACCCAGAGCCAGCCACGATATACACTTAATGTAAGAAAGAGGAGAAGCTCGTTACAGGGTGGAAAGCCCATTTGCTCTGTTTCTTAACTTCTAATTGTGGCAGTGAAATGATTCAGGCGGCTGAATCAGTCACTTTCACTCACAGAAGATAACTGAGAGAAGAAGAAAGAAAGAATTTTGCAATGGCAGGATGCTTCTAAAAGGATGAGGAATCCTTGCAGTGCTTTGATTATTTTTAAGTGCCCAAAGAGCGCTCATGTGAATATGTACTAATTTGAGAACAGAACAGAACAGAAACCCGATTACTAAAAGTATTCCAGATAAAGTTTTAGGCATAAGGAAGTAGAAAGGATCCAGTGGTCACATCAACATATATTTCATCAGTCCCAATCATGCTTTTTTTGGGGTGGAGACAATTGTGGTTTTTCCCGGAAACTGTGTGACTTCTCCCACTACCCTTAATAAAGCAGCAAGCAGGATAGAACGCGAAAAACAATGGCTAATGACAGCTTAATAATGATACCACCAAATTCTGAAAAACTTTAAGCATACAAATGGAGTGCGGCAGAATTTATAAGTTTTGGTTACAGTAACAATTCACTCAAACCACATTTACCTGAGCAAATTAAATATTCCAGGTTAATTTTCCAGAAACTGAAAGAATCCAGATATCGAGAACTGACTTTCTGATAGTGAAACAAATTACCTTAAAAATAACTACATGCCCCTCCTGAGAAACTATGCAGCACCTAATGCATTTATGTCCAGTTTTGCTGAGTACCCGAAAATAAAAATAAAAAAAAATGGCAAGTTAGCACTGAGTGTTTAGATTTGTATGGCCTACTTTTCATCTGCAGAATCTGCACAGAAGGGATAAAGTGTCAGTCAAGCGGAATGGCTTCTGCTTCCTACCAGGGAACCTTTATCTCCTCTTACTTTTGGCCAGTCCTTAAGGGCTAATGTAATAAACATGAAAACTATAATCTACTGTTGAGAATCCAAGCAACATACACCATACAGAAAGATAATAACCGAGAGGAGGGCATGCAAGCAGCTCTAAAGCCAGAAATCTCATCGTCCAAGGGGGAAAAGCTTAACACATTAACAGACACATACAATTGTCCTTGTTTAGCTTTCTTGTGTAAAATGGGATTTCATTGCTTTATATGCAAAAGGAAGAGCCGCCACAGTTTCCCTTCTATCGTTTTAAGTCTACATGCACTGCGGCAGCAAAAATACACGGATCTCTAAGATCTTTTTGGCCCATGCCTGTGATCATCTATTCCAGCATGCATATACTGGCTACATATGGTCTCTCTCATTCTCGCTCTCTCTCTCTCACACACACAGACACACAAACAAACAGAGCGGGAGCGAGTACTGATTTTTAGGTGCAAGGATTTCACACTTCTGAGACACACCCATAAAATGAATGGCCTGATGTTTACACTAAACTTTAGGTCAATGCCAGAAAGTGACACAACATCAGAAAACAATCCAATGCCTCTCCGCCCAATTTATTTATTTATTTATTTAAACCATTTCTATGCCACCCCATTCGCAAAAAGCCTCAGGGCGGATTACAACAACAATAATTAAACTTTAAAAAAACCGGACACATCTCGGCACACATAAAACCCAATAAATACAATCAATAAATGAACAATTAAAATAACTTTTAAATAAAAAGGTCTTGGCCTGGCGCCGAAAAGCAAATAACGATGGCGCCAGGCGAATCTCTCTGGGGAGCGCATTCCATAGGTGGGGCGCCACCACAGAGAAGGCCCTCCTCCGGGTACTCACCCTCCTAATATCTTTCATGGAGGAAATGATTTTATCCACATTACCAATTAGATTAAATTTATCCAATGAACTCATTCAGAGATTATTCCCTCCCGGCGTCACTTCCTTCCATGGTGCAATGGCTTTGGGGTAAGTCATACTGAAGTGCAGACCCACTGTCATCAATGGGGTGCATGTGGCTGTGACTGAATTTCCGTCTCGTTGAGCTGTACATTCAACAGCACATGGGCAGATGCTGCTTGCGCGATAGGGCTTCGCCCTCCCGTCCGCACCCCGGATGTCCCCAGAGTGGCCTGGAGCGTCCTCTGGTGTTTCGCAGCAGATGCAGGAAACATGCAGGGCAGGAGGGCACCTGTCCTACCAGTGTTATCTGCTCTGCTTGCAGAGAGATGGAACTGGAGCATCTTAAAAACTCTCCCCAACTCCTGCTTTATTGCCACTGGTTTCCCAGCCTGCCGTCCCAGTTGGCTGCTCAAGCCCCCTAAGCAACGGCACCCACCTTGAGCTTTTTGACGCTAGTGCAGGGATCATTAGAGAAACTCTCTGTATCTGAGATTTCAATATCTTCTCCATACAAGACACCAGTCAGATCATTCCGTACCTGTTCCGAAAAGGAAAGAAAAGCAACGTAAATGGGTTGGCATCCACGAATGAACATTTTGCCGTCTTGCATCACCATGACCGACTCAACCATCATTCACTAAGAGGGTTTCACTGGGTAATACAAAGGATGGAAGTGGGGATCTCCCAGTAAGCATTCCAGAAACGAAACTGTCATTAGCTGTCACACCGCAAACACTTGATTATGGTGATGAGCTTAGTCAGTTTATACAACTTTGCCACCCCCTTCACTCTGCAGGTTTACTCCAAAAACCGAACCACAAATCCCAAATCAGCAACATGGTAGGAAAGCTGGCTTTTACCGTATGAGTGTTCTTTCCACAGATCCTTGTTTTTCTCTCCACCTTTCCAACACAGGTCAATTCAATGATCAAAACACCTTCTAGTTTAAGACTAGAATTAAGGCTCAAGAGAGAAGACCAGGCAATTGGAAGCGTAGGGTGATGTAGGGACATGCCCTCTGATTAGCGATGTTGCTGTGCATCATCACAAATATTCTTGCTTGCAGTTTGCCTTCTGTGTATTCATAAATTGCCTGATCCTGCCTAATCTTGGAAGCTAAGCAAGGTCAGGCCTGGGCAGAAGTGGGATGGGTGACTTGAGTTTATGAGTCTATGATTATTGCTGTCAACTGCCTAGAGAGCTTTGGCTATGGGCAGTATAAAAATGTAATAATAATAATAATAATAATAATAATAACAACAACAATAATAATAAATTAGTCTTTTGGGCACAAATGCAAATGGGGAGGATGCAATCGCTGACCAGGACAATCTTGGTCAGGGAAGAGGCAATTGCTGACCAGGACAATCTTGTCCTGGTCCTGAACTTCCTTATGACAAAACTATCTGAACTTTCTTAGTAGATTGAACTGTGCAAGGTAATTTTAAACTTGCAAGTCTTGACACAACCGAATCTTCCCAGCAGATATATATTCTGCCACCACTCCACCACAGTGTCCATATTTATTCGCCAAGATTTATACTAAATACTACCTCATAAGCTCCCCCTACAGATAGATTCTGCTACTTTGTATTCAAAGTTTGGGGGAAGCCAGGCTTTATTATTTGGTAGTAACAGCATTCATTCGGATGCACGCTAATGCAACACAGATGCTTTCATCATTTCTTCATATCAATCATTTGGCTTCGGAATCAATGGATAAATAATACGCAGTCAGCCATTTGAAATCCAGTCAAATAAGTAAAAGTGCTATGACCTTTTTTTTTAAAGGAATAACAAGAAATTTGGAGAGTAAAGCATTGGCAAGAAGCAGAAAGAGCAAAAAACAATGAATACTTTGAAGAGCCGGACAGAAAGAAAAATCATGTTTTGAAGCAGAGGAACAGTAATAGAAATTCAAGGTTATGTGCTTGCTCTGGTAATATATCTCTTACTCTATAAATACTTTAGAATTAAAGGCCCTACTTACAAGCACTTACAAGAGAGGCTTTTCTATCCATCAAAGCAGATTCATTTCTCACCTCAACTATCCAATGTTCTTTGGTCAGCTACCATGCCTACAATCTGTGCGCAATTCTTTTCTGCTGTTCTGTTTGGTGCTACCGAATTCTAGTTCTCCACTCATAATGAATAAAAAAGCACACCCAGAAAGTGTTCTTACAAACATACAAGGATTAATTAATCCCACAGACTGCCACTCATACCACCATCAAACTGACAGGGCATATTCTAACATCAATCTAGGATAAACTACCAGGAGGACTCCCCAAAACTTCATGTACCTCATTAAGGAGACATCGATCATTTCATGGCTGTTGTAGCTCTTTAGATGTAACAAGATTAAACCTCTATCTAGGCATGCACACGACACTGTGAATGCATCACAGGTATAAGAAAACATGGCATTTCATTTTCCCTTACTGGTCAGCTAATGGTTTGATTTATGCAGTGGAGTTCAAGAGACTAAGAAATGCACCAGCTAAAGCAAAAAGGGAGACTACAAATTGGAGGAGGAGTTTTCCTTGAGTGAACCTAAGAAAGGGATGAAAGATATTGGGGGAGTCTGTCATCAGGATTTCCTAGAAATAAGGAGGAGAGGAGAATTATCAGTATACTCATTCTGAATTTTTCAGGTCCATTTACATGATGAAAACTGTCATCTGTATGGAAACCAACCCGTATCTTGATAGCAAGTAAGCAAGATGAGTAAGATGGGACTCTCTCTAACACACCCTAGGTCAATAGTGTAGTTTTGTAGGGTGAGTAGAACACGTGGGATTTTTTTTGGGTTGCGGGGAGGGGAATGAACCTGCTTACGCAGTCTTGGGTGATGGCAGAGAGTACTCATTTCCCGTTGTAATGTCCTTCTGGTCAGGTAGGAAGCGCTTGAGTCTGTTTTGATGGACTCCACACTAAGAATGCAAGGTGCTGGTTGGTTTGATTTTCTTTTGGCAAGAGGACTACTTGTACCTAGGTTTGAAAGGGCCATTACAATTGAAAGGGTTAGCAAATTTGTGCAAGTGCCCGTTCAGATCCCAAGTCAGTCTGGTAGCGAGGCAGCCAGTGACTTTGCCAGTACTGGTCACTGGTGTGGTCGCTCGGTGAAGGTTACCGAGCATTAGGAGCCAATTCTGATTTTGCCACCAGAGGCTGCCATTTTATGTACACATTCAAAGATGTCACCTGCATTCCATTTCAATTGCTACATTTCTCTACGTCCAACAGCCAAGCTCTCTGAGTGGTTCATAGAAATAGAAGAAAGCTCACCAATCCATCAATGACAATAAGGATATCATTACACTAAGAAACAACCCATCTTGTTCATTTCATAAACACTAGCATGATAACTTTTCAGATTATTTACAAGATAGCCAAATCGATAATTACAACATAGCATCAATTATTATTTATCAGTAACGTGTTAAGCCAGGGCCAACCACACCAAGTAAACCTTGCCTAAGCATTGAGATGTGAGCAAACACTACCAATGGCTACGCCAAGAATACAAAATGCAGAGACATCAACCAGTGCGTACGACCAATGTCTCCATCAGTTGATGGAATTTTCCTGCTGCAGTAGGTGTGCATGTTGAAGAAGGCCATGGAGGTCTGAGGGGCAGGAAAATGGAGGAAAAGACGCAGAGAACAAAGGAAAGGAAGGAGAGAGTTCTCTTCAGTGTTCCAGAGGGATAGAAAAAAGTTTACGACGACTATGACCAGATTTATGCTACGAGGCGAGAAAGTGTTCCAAATGTTGTTAGTTGCTGTGGCAGAAAAAGAGAGCGGAGAAGCAAATGGGAGTCACACCTTGAAGGCCTCGCACCTAAAGCTCTCGAGCTTTAGAATGATCTGAATGGCTGCTCTGAGCAGGTACGTACCTGCTCAGGCATGAGTCACGGAAGCCATGAAGAAGGACGACTAATTTATATTCCCCCAGAGGTCGGACCCGTTATGATAGAAACCTTTCCAAAACACAATATGTGATTTATTGCTCTGCAGAAAAATTTCCGTTTTGTAAGTTCTTCAGTAACAAAAAAAAATGGATGTCAATTGCAAATACAAATCAGACAAACTTAGCTATATTCAAAGATATATTTGAGTGGCTGTCAGCGTATCGTGCGTTCTTTTTTCAGCTTCTAAAATGTATTAATGTGTAATAAATTCAGTACCTTTCCCCTGTTAAAGTCAAACAATGTAAGCTAAGGGGATGCTATTCTCATTCTCTCTCTTTTACACTTTTCACAATAACACTAACAGGTTAAACTGATAACTTCATGATTATGTGGTGATTCTGAATGGGTTTTCTTTAAGCCCAACCCTTCATCCGGTGTCTCACTTGGTCATTAGTGTAATAGTATTACATTAGCATAATTAATAGCGATAACATATCTCAGCTTTTGATAACTTGGTAATAATTCGCCGGCATTAGTCCCAATAATAATTCCACATTAAAGCAACAGTTAACACTTACACTGCTAGTTCGAAGCTAAATCCACAATTCCGGGAACATTTCTTGTTTCCTCTTATTAACCACTGAGTTTCCCCATAGTGAAAAACGCTGCATGTAAGTACTGCTAGATAAATCCTTCACGGTATGTGTGTCTGTGTGTTTGTGTGCATGTGCATATGGGGAAGGGGGCTTAATCTCACCAGATGTTGATTATCAGAGATTCATAATGAATGAGAACGGTACAGGGCAGATGGTTTATAAAATCAAAATTCCACTGGCTTTTCCCTCATTTAATGATTCCAGTGTAGTGTCCATTTGTTTTCTTATTAAATGGAAAACAGTATTCTGTTCCATTGTATAGTTAAATATGAGGAAATCATGAAAAGAAACATTTTAAACCATCAGTCTTTCTTTAAAAATGGCTTCAATGCATACCCATGCGAGAGGAGGGGATTATAGTTTCCGGGATTAATACATAAGTATGTCAGCAGAACAGTTGTTTTAAATTGAAAATTGCGGCAAATACGTTTGTATTTCCCTGAAAGTGACTTCCTTGTTACAGGAGATCATGAGGGTCTGGTACTACCAGCACAAGGCTGCAGAATATGTACAAACAGTTAGGATATAAAAATGGAAGTGCTGGGTCAGATATTCATTGCAGAAGGAGAAAGCACGGATGACAACAAAATTGCAAAGCCCTAGCTAGAAACAAAGGAAGGAATGGGGCAACATTCAGCATGGAGATGCACAGGAGTCCAAAATGAATAGAACAGGAAGTAGCAAGAGCTGGGATTCTTGAAAATCTCAAAAGGAGAAAATTACAGAGAATGGAAGGGAAGCATATAAAGGGGAGATCAGAAGGTTTACAAGTGTGAAAACAGAATGCAACAAAACAGTGATTTGCATGAGGTACCACTGGAGAAATCAAGACTAGAATGAGCAAGTTCATGAAAGAAACTACTCCAACCATTCACAATAACAACCATAGAGGCCGAATTGATACTATAAACACCTTCAGTATAGATATGAACACTAGATGTGCAAGCTCTGAATACAGGGATTCATTTT